CCAAGGTGCTGGAAGACTCTAGATTTGGTGACTGCCCTGTCCCAGAGCTGATACCTTCTTACTATGACTTGACATGGCTAAAGGATGACAGATCTCAGCCCACAAGGGCTCTATCCTCCTGACCTTATCCCTTGCCAAGGTTTCACATCCTAACATCATCACCTTAGGGTTAGGATTTCAACATACAGATGTTGGGAGATGAGGATGGAAACTCAATCTGTTGCAACTGATAACCTCTCAGTTGATGAGCAACAAGTAGGGATCTCTTATTAAGGTTGTCTAGCAATAATGTTTATTCTCAAGGAACACTAAACCATAAGTTTCTAAATGTCCAGGTTCCTGAAATATTGACATAAAAATGTGGTTATTCATAATTCTTCACTTGTACTTGTTATTGTGAGGAGCTGAGGAAGCCCTGAATGAATGTGTAAAGAGCAAATGAAGTCTTGAATGGATGTGTATTGTTTGACACGAGCACATCCATGACAAGAACCTGAATGCCTCAGGCATATGGGAGTACAGCAACCTTTCCTGGGGTAAGGTTCATAAGGATGGCAAAGCCTTCCTGTGGTCCAATGGTAAATGTTGACAGTGTGTACAAGTGGTTGCAAATGATTGGCAAATGTATGCGAGAATGAGCAACTGCAGTTTCTTCCTTCTGGATGTCTACAGCCTGAGACTATTCCCCTAAAGACACCTACTGAGATGAGATATCTCCTCCCCTCTGTGCTGGACATAACAGAAGCTGAGAGGTTCTTGTTTGTTGTTATATAGTTGATGCAATTCTGTCAGAGTGTGTATAACCCATCTGATGGAGCTTTTCTGTACGTGTGTCTGTCTGCCCATTCTTTCTTCATTCTCTCAACACCCCTGGTCAGGTCAAGTCCAACATCACACAGGACTTGGCAATTATTCCCTATTTTGGAGGCAACTGTTGATCCTTTTGGAGTTTTGTTTTATTTATCAGTAGGGCCTCATGTAGCCCAGGTTGCCTTGAACTCTTGATCCTCCTGCCTCCACCTCAAAGCCCTTGGATTATAGGCCTAAGTGGCTCAGCCAGTTCCACACACATTGTCATTTCCCCTCAAGAACTATTTCTCAAACAAGGAAATAGTTTTCATCAGCTCATTTCAGGCCTTCACCCTATCTATAGTGAACCTGTGTCCATAAGAAGCCTAGCCCAGAGTTGGAAACAGAAGGGAAATGAAATCCTCTTTGAAAAATAGCAGCTTGTTCATTAATTGTTTAGGAACAAGCAAAGCATAAATCCCAGGCCTCTTCCTGAAGCCTTGCCTCCTTCACTGTGGTCAAGGTCCCCTCAAATAGCATGTTGGGGTTCTTGTACTTTCTCTGGGCTCTCCTATAGCCAGCTTTCAGCCTCTATCAGTGCTTCACACTGGAAGATGCAAGTGAAAACCCAGAGCTCAATGGAATCTTTTATTTATTTATATATTTTTTCCTGCCAAGAGTGACAGTGATAGCTGGAACTTTTGATAGATGGGCTAAGGTTCCGGTATCTGGTGTCCAGTCTCTGGATTTGGGCCTGAGCTGTCTCTTCCTGGTAGCTACAGCCATGGCAGAAGATGTGGCCATGGAGACTTCCCCAGGACAGCCCTAGGGTGCTGAAAGGCCTCCAGCCTGGCTCCCTGGATCTCTGGCCCCAGTTCTGACACAGTCTCATTCTTGTGTGGCCTAAATTAGCAGTTGTCTTAACTTCCCTGTTGCCAAACTTCTTCTGCTTGCTTCCTCATGTCAACCTCTGGAAACCTGGTTTGCCAGTTGCTCAGGCTTAGCCTTGTTGTCCTCTAAATTCCTTTCAATATTAGCATGGCTGGTCCTTGTGCATATGTTCTTGGATTCCATAGCCTCTTCTACAGCTACTAGAGTTATCTTCTGTAATGTAGTTCAAATGATGTCACCCCTCAGAAGCTTCTGACTAGTAAAGCCCAACCCTGTGGTAGTCTTCAAGACTGCATAGGCTGCTCTCTCCCTATTCCTCCCCCACTTTATAGAATAGACTTCCTGTCCTTCACTCACCACTCTCTACACATACTAGCCTTGGATCCACAATATCCCAAAGACTCCCTGAGACACACCAAACACCCAACTGCCACTTGATGGTCTCAGAACACTCCTGTCTCTGCACATTGGGGGTCTTCTCTTGGATCTTTTGTATACAGGATACTCCCCACTTGAAGACACCCCCCATCAACCCTGCAGTGCCAGTCCCCTGCTTCCTTGAATGTCCCAGTCTCCTTACCACACACATCCTAAATCCTTATCCCTCTTACTTTGTGCTATTTTTCATCTCTTAACCTCCAACATATACTTTTTAAAAAACTTGTTTATTTTCTCTCTCTCCCCTCTCAAACATATAAGCCCCATAACAATAGGGAATGTCTGATTCTTACTTTATCTTCAGGTCTAGAAGGTTTCCAACTTACAGTCAGAACTCAATATTGAATAATTAAATGGATGAATGAATGGATGAGGATATATCTACATCATCTATCTGTCTATTATCTATTTATCTACCAACATATATATACATATCTATCTATCTATCTATCTATCTATCTATCTATCTTTTATCTGCATATATGGCTTTATCTACTCAAAGAGTTTATAAAGAGTACATTACTAGTCACTCAAAAAAAAATACTCTGAAGGCAGCAAGCTCAGTGGAAGTCACTCAGAATTGTTGAAGGAAATGAAGGGTTTCATAAATATGCTTCATTTTAATTAACAACAACAACAACAAAAATCCTCTAAGATGTGTTGTGGGAATTTGTTCTGATAGCCAATTGTATTGGGGTGGCTTGACCCAATGGGTGTGGTTTTCTCTGGGGATACATGACCCATAAGAACCGAGGGCAAGGGGTCTCTCTCTTGGACCATGGATGAGCTGGCAAGAAGCCAGGGTTTGGAGCTTCCCCATCGTAATTTGGGAGGTTACCACAGGCAGTGGCAGAGAGCTGGTCTCCTAGTGGGAACAGCCGAGCAACTAGTGACATGACCTGGATTCCTCATTCTATCTTGTAATCACTGTATACAGATTTTGATTAATACAAGATAACACAATTTTCAGACTTCCCTCTTTAAAGACACACTAGGAATTGAGTGTGGCTTGTATATTTAAATCTTTTTTTATTAATTCTCTGAGAATTTCATTCCAGTGTATCTCAACCATATTCACCCTAATTCCTCCCCTTAACTTGTCCCACATTCGTCCCCAACTCCACAACCCCCACCCCTACTAATCAGCACACACATGCTGTAACTTAAATGATATGTATGTGCTGTTCTGCTCTACACAAATATGTTAATGCTTTACTTTAAGAATAATATGTGATATGGGCATGATGTTACATGCTTTTAAACCTGTGTTGAGGAAGCATTAACAGCTGGGTCTGCATGATTTCCAGGCCAGCCTAGTCTACACAGAGACAAAATTTTAGCAATTTAGATTTTTTTTTTTAAATTCTAGAATCAGGCAACTCATCATTCCATAAAGCAGAAGGAATGTTCGGGTAGGCTGAGCAGGGAGGGCAGCTTCGTGACAGAGAAGAGCTGAAGAAAGCAGAAACAAAGAACAGAAGGTGGGCTGGTTATCTCAAAAGTGCTTGTCAGAGAAGGCGAGACAGGATAATGGAGAAGTCCTTAATTACTTCAGGTGTTTTTCTGTAAGAGTTTAAAAAAATGTAAGGATGAAGGCAGAGGAAACTTAATTTTTACCGCAAGTGGCCTCTGTGAAAAATCCATCTTTCTTTCATTCTTCTGAGGAAGGTCAGATAGCAATGGAATTCCAGTCTGGAATTGTGGCCCCGTGTGATTCCATTTTGGGTATTAGTTTTTCTTCTAGGGTCTCATGTAGGACTTTGGTAAAACAAAACGAAGCAGAATAATGTTTCTGTAGTTTTTATTTAACACAAATACATCTCAAAAATGGTGTGGCATATTCCATCGTAACAATAACCATCATCACTCAGGTTTCAGTCACCAATTGGAGCTCATACCTGAGTCAACAGTAAGGGATGATGCATTTTGTCAGGGATGCTGTTGTCAAACATGTGAAGGGACACATAGCTATCTATCACTTTGGTCTCCCTGCTTCCAGTTTTCCAAATGCCAGCTTTTGGTTTGCACTATTCTAGTTATTAGAAAGAGCTATGACTTCAGTTATGCTTATAAGAGGTCAAAGAAAATTTCAGGATGATTTCTTCCTACCAAATATTGACCAATTAAGTCATTTTTTTTACTTAATATATAGTTGATTTATATAAAAAAGTGTCTGGGATCTGTGTCCTGGTTAGCTTTAACTGTCAACTTGACACAGCCAAGAATCATAGGACAGACTTGATTGAGGAATTGCATAGATGAGAATTGCCTGTGGACATCTGTGAGTCATTGTTTTGATCATTACATTGATGAAGGAGGGTCCAGCCTACTGGGCACCATCCCTACACAGATGCTTCTGGCAGGTTTATAAGAAAACAAGCTGAATATGAGCTGGCTTTCAGGTGAGCTGTCAAAGAGCATCCTCCATGGTTCCTGTTGTACTTTCAGGCTCTGAAATGAATTCCTGGGTTAGAGGTAATGAAGTGCAAATAGTAAGCAGGCCTGCCTTCAATTTCTTGCCTTGAGCTTCGTCCTTGATGAGTTATGACCTGGAAGTTTCTACTTTGAGTAACTATGAAATTTTTCTTAAGTAGATGAGGGACTTTGATTTCTAAAGGTATTCTGTGTTTCATTTCTGCAATGTGTGAAAAAATAACAGTGCCTGATGTGGGTACTCTCTTAGAAGGAGTCTCAAAGCAGAGTTTATGTTCTTAGAAAGAAAGGACACAGTACATATAGAGCCTGGTTAACACCCACCGTGAGAGTATACTCTATGTAGCTTCATAGGCAGCACATCATGGAAAGATGGGCCATAGAGAGTAATTGGTGTGGGAAGCACATGAGGAGGGAAATTTGAGACATGTTTTGACCTTTCTTCTTAGGTGCTGAATATAATAACATTCCCAGAGCCCCTGATCCTGGGAGAGCAGTGTTGGCAGCGTTGTAAGGAAGAGACCAGCAAGGCAGGAGGACATAGTTCCAAGTACTGGGGATTTGCTTGCTTTCCATGGACTCCTATCTTGCGACATCTTTCGTATGACAGAGACATGGATTTGTTTCTTTGGTAAGACACAACTAGTCTGAATGCTTCTATTATGGGCATCCCTTATGCATGAATATCTTTGATTTGAAACATTGTGGGTGTTTCTTTTCTTCACTTAGCCAATGACATGAAGGAGCAAGAATTGCCATTCCCATTTTTTAGTTATACAGACTGGCCTTTTATAAAACTAATTGATTTTTGTGTGGTCAAATCATTAGGAAATAGAGAATTCATAAAAATGTGAAGTTTAGTGTCTTTATATGGCAAACCATACATGAGCTCACACTAATATACACATACATACAGTGTCCTTAGGAAGTAGACAGACCCAAATTTAATTTTTTCTGTCTGTTTTGTTGTTCCAGGTCAATTTCCTGCCTTTTCTGATTTGAATGCTTTGTCTGAAAGGTAGATATTTCTAAGGAACTGAAAACTTCCAAAGGAGTTAATGACTGAGGTCTTGATGTAGGGTGTGGGCACATATAGTAAGTGGAGTTCCATGCTAATTCTTCAAAAATTGCTCAGATATGGGAATAAAGGAATGGAGCATAGAGATGAAAAATGTGCTTCACCTTGAAGTTTTATGTGTCTAGAAAGAACTTGAAATAATTTTGCTTACTTATTTATTTTTAATTAACTAATTAATTATCTGTAGCTCAGGCTAACCTAGAACTCACTATGCTGGCCAGGTTAGTCTTGAAATCACAGCAATCTTCCTATCTTCTCTTAGAAAGTAATGGAATTACAGGAATAAGCCATCACATCTTGGTGACATTTTGGTCTGTTCCTTATTAAAAAAAAAAAAAAAAAAAAGATTAGTGAACACAGTCGACCAAGTTCTTGTTCTTGGGTTATTTGAAAATCTTAAAGTTATTTCTCCACATGTATACTTGAAGGAAATGTAAGAGAGAAAAAATTACTGTGTTTTCAAGTATCCCAGGAAGCAGAGGAAGAGGTAAGAGTAGCCATTCTATAGCAAATTTTGAAATTTTGTAACATATAGAAAAGGGGCTACTGTAATCTCTAGGTTTTCTCAAGCACTTTTGGAATTCTCTTTGTAAATATGTGGCCCCATGGGCTGGAGTGGTGGCTCAGAGGTTAAGAGAACTGGCTGCTCTTCCAAAGGTCTTGAGTTCAATTCCCAGCAACCACATGATGGCACACAACCATCCATAATGAGATCTGGTGCCCTCTTCTGGTCTGCAGGGATACATGAAGACAGAACACTGTATACATAATAAATAAATAAATAAATAAATAAATAAATAAATAAATAAATATCAAAAAAAAAAGATTTAAAAAAAATATGTGGCCCCAACTGGGTGCTATGTAATAGGACTTCAAGGGTGCCCATGAACTTCTCGGTGGGTTGAGATTCATGAATTTCTTGACTGGACACATTATTAGTCAGGATCAGTAAGACTTACACATAAACAGAACAGCGTGAGATGTGGTCCATATCCTGACGTATGTTTGATGCCATCCAAATCACAAGCAGGTGAAGAGACAGAATAACAACATGAATCAGAGTGTGTTGCATGGCAGGGGTAGGGGAGGGGGGCAGGTGGACACATTTCTAATGCGTCAGTAATGGGAAGTACGCTTTGGTTTGTCTTCCCCTTTCCAGACTCAAGTAGAAAAAGTCAAGGGTGACTTCATTCTTACTCAGAGCAGTTGACTAGGTCAAATAACCGAAGCTTTCTCTCTGCCAGTCTGAGGCCCTATTTGTTTGTTGGAAAGGACTCTGGTAATTCAGCAGAATGTCTACTATCTCCCCTGACATAGCAGGAGAATCCACTGTGACAGCTGCTGCAATGGCTGCCCCTCAGCCTGCTCTTGTCTGACATTTCTAAGGCAGCATCTGATTACAGCTAGCAACTTGAAATTAAGGGCACGGAGATGAAATTACCAGTAGACAGGGACTGAGCAAGGCAGTGAGGCAGTCTGAAGTGTGTTCCTCTTTCAGGCTCCGAAGAACAGGCAAATAATCCCACTGATGAGCAGCTGTGTCTTGTGGGTATGACAGGCATTCAGAACTGGCCAGGTCAGCAAAGACTACACACGGTGTCAACCTGTGGGATTCCTCTGAAGTGCCCCAAAATGTTGAGAATACTTAAGCTCATAAGAAAGTCTATGAAAAAACAAAATGGGAGATGCAAAGCCTCTATTTACCTGCTATTTGGGGAAGTTTCAGATATAAGTCATTGGTCTCTACCCATGACTCAACTGCATCACAGTTCAGAAGTTTCTCAGTGTTGGTTTTTAAAGTTCTATTTATTTCTACTTGCATTTCCTTCTCCATCCTCTTCATTATGATTCATAACCAAATTGTTAGCGATTGTTCCTCCAGATATGTTGAGTAAATTTCAAGGTTTCCTGATGAAGTCTTCAAGCCTAGAGAAAAGATATAATAGTGACAATACATGAACACAGTAAATACGTACACATGTCTTGTAACTTACAAAGCACTTTTTTTCCAAAAGGAAAGAAAGGCTATGGGCACATTTATTCTACTTGATTCATGGTATAAATTAGATCTATGTAGATAGAATACAAGAGCTCATGCTTGGAGCAAAACCCTCCTGAGTGTAACAGCTGATATCTGAACTGTAAGATTTTGAGGAAAAGGTGAACTCTCTATTGAAACTTGGCAAAGTGTTTTACCTGGACTATACTTCACACTTAACCACAACGTGCTCATGTAACTTCTTGACATACAGAGTAGGCTCTCAACATCCACTTAAACATGCTTTTAAGTGGAAGGTCATAGCCCCTGTCACACCTGGGCACATCTGAAGATGGGCTCTTTACTTACAAAGTACTTTCACACAATACACTCACAGTTTATCCTGGGCACATCAGTGATGGCCAACACCTCCTTCTCTTTCCTGAAGTTTCTTTATGTAAAATCTCTGAGAGCTGAGATTTTACATCACTAGAGGTGGAGAAAGGCAAGTGAGAAACATTAGGCTGTCTAGAGAGGGGGAGAGGGGCTCCAGGAAGAATGCCTACTGGGCCACTATTCCTACCATCTCACATTGGAAAAGAACAGACTGCATCAGACCTCCGTTTCCCAAAATGCCAAATTAAACTAGCCCACAGCACCCGACTCCCACTGTGTTACTGTGAGGATCCAATCAGGCAAGTGAGAAAACCTTTCCCACCTTCCAAGAACAAAATCAATACTCTTCATTTTTTCCCCCGGCACTTTTCCTAGCATCTGTGACCTCAACTTCAGTTGAAGGCTCCATCTACTACACAATAAAGACCAATTTTTCATTCATAAAAGCATGATGGCCTCTGAGTCATCTTACTTTTATCATAATCAAAACATAGAGGCTTGCAGCTAGATGTCTGAGTCTTGGTCTAGTGTCCTCTCTCGTCAAGAGAAAACCAACATCATGGTGATACTTTGCTTATGATCTAATAAAGCTTGCCTGAAGGTCAGAATGCAAAGCTAGCCACAGCCATATAGGCCAGACAGTGGTGGTACACACCTTGAATCCCAGCAGCCACACTAGTTAGCCACAAAAGTTGGGTGGTCCCAGCACTAGAGAGCTGTGTAAGACAGGAGTTCAGGTCTCAGTCTGTATTCAGTTTCAGTTTGCAGTCACGCTGAGGACAGGATCACCTCAACCTTGGTAGAGGTAAGAACTCTCTGGTGGTTAGCTGCCTTTCTTTTCTGATCTTTAGGCAAGCTTTATTAGATCATAAACAAAATATCACCATACAATATCTTATATTACTTTAATTTACTTAAATACATTTAGATAAATTAAGCCATTTATTTATTTATTTATTTGTTTATGTAGTACTGGGGATTGAATCAAGGACCTCATGAATGCTAGGCAAACACTCTACTACTGAGCTATATTGCCAAACAAGTTTTAATTGTTTTTTCTTATAGCCAAGTTTGCAGACAATCTACATCTAACATGAATGCATGCTTGTGTTCATTCCTGACTCCCACATCACAGTTTTCACTGCCGAAACTGAGGCTCCAGGGTTGGGCCCAGGAATCTGCTTTGTGTACAGAGTACGTGAGCTAATACGGATATGCTGCTAATGCAGGAACCTGGAACTTCCTGGTTAGAAAAGCTCAATTTGTTCATCATTTCTGCCCAGCCATAGTGAGATTTCTTTATCAATTGCCAATAGAAGCAGGCATGAGGGCAAATGTGAAATAAAAGCAGCCCTCTGCTGCTATGTAAAATCTGCTATGTAAAATCTTTTCATGTTTGAAAGCACTTTGAAGTGATATCTTCTCAGCTTTCTTTAACTGGATGGAGCATTCAAAAAGGGCTTTCAGAAAATGTATCCCCATCCCAGGGTTGTTCTGTCCTTTGCTTAAGAAACAATCTTCCAAGCTGTTAGTTAAACTGATCATTAGCCAGCCACGAGTTAAAACAAAAGGCAGCTTCAGCTCATCTTTAGTATGGCTACTAAAATCTCGAGGTGTTGGTGGTCGGTATCATCTTTTGAAAAAAGATAAATATTTTGCCTCTGATATCTAATGATTACAGAATAAGATATAATTTCAGAAGTTATAGCATGTTACCAGTCAGTTTCCTAGGGACACAGAACCGAAATGGACCAAACTGACATTTGTCTGTGGCACTAAGCCTTTTTGTCTGGCACTGGTCTAGGGGTAGAGGAGCCAGTGGGACAAACCAAGGTTTCCCGTGCACTTACATTCACTCTGGGGAGACAGACAATAAAGAAGGAGTCATCTTTGATATTTCTAATCTATAAACTGGCACGTTCCAAGTTACAAAAAAAATGATTAAAATGGTTTATTCAGAATATACCATAGTGAGTTTCACAACACTGGGAACTGAAACATTAGGAAACAATCCACTTAATCATGGCCACTTACGCCCACTTTCCCATGAGAGTTGCTGTCTACGGTTATAATTGATTTCTTCTCCCCAGAGGCACAATCCTGTCCCCATGTCATTTTTTACCTTATTTCACAGTCCTGCCTTCTGTACTGATGCTCAGAAAAAGCAGCAAATTAGGAGATTAGTTTTTCTCTTCCCTTTTACGTTTTCTAACTCAGGCAGCGAAACCAGTCTGAACTGGATGAAGTATTAAATCCCTTCTCTGGAGTTTACCCAGAAACTAGGGATACTCAGCTTGCAAGACTGCAAACTGATACCTGCATGTACCAGCCAAAATGACATCCTATTTGTTATTTTCTTCACGGTGCTACTCATGTTTAGAATTGTAATATTAGTCTAGGAGGAAATACTGCTGTAAGATTTTCACTTTTGTTTTTAGAAGAACATGTAGTTTGTGTTTGATGGAGTCTTTGGTACTTTGATGTTTAGAGGATGATAAGCAAATAGAAAGCAAAGATTAAAAATGAAAAAAATACCTGTTTTTAGTAGCTACATATTTCATATCTATTTTCCTTTCATAGGCTGACATCATTTCATGGAAAACTACTTTTTTTTTTCCTTTTTCAAGAATATATCCACAGCATAGAAGATGGTATGAATGGGGTCAGAATTTGGCAGGTGTGTACTGGATATGATATGATTTTTCATATTTGTTTTTGTGTCCAAGTAAAATATTTCTTTAGAGAAAGATACTTGGCTAAGCTCAAACTTCATACAGGTTAGCTAATTAGTTACAAACTGCAGTCACGACACTTTTGGATAAAGCGTACCATCCGTGTCCAATCACTGTAGAAATGGGTTCCATTTTGGTCATGTTAACATTACCCCTCTGAATAAAGCTGAGGCAATCCCAGAATCAAACATGGTACAAACTGTGTAACAAACTGCAGAGAGATGGCTTCTGATCAGAACTGAGCATGAATAAAAACAAATAAATCAGGGAAGCAACTCTTCCATTTCTGGTGACCTCTGGATATCAGATTCAATGCCAGATAAATAACAAGCATCTTGCAAAATAAACTGCCCAGCAGTAAAGAAAGTGACAGTAGAGCCCACAAATTCTGGGAACCCTCATGGCTGCCAGGAGCACAGGACTCGGTTTTGAAATCTGAATCAGATATTTGAAACAGCTAGTGTTCCCAACTTGAGCTTCTTGGCAGCCGTGCTGGCTGAGCGTGCACATAACACAGGTGGATAGATGGTAGCAAACAACTTTCGGGCTAGCAGCACTCCTCACAGTTGCTGGCAAGTGATTCCTTCTAAGGGTACATGGCAGGGGCAGTGCCAAGAGAGAGGACATGGTGAGGGGGTGTTGTGTGTTTTTGAATATACAAAAGCATTTGGAGAGGTTGATTCTAATTTTAATTATAATTCTACCTGAAGCCTCACTTTGGGGGCATAGAATGCTAGCAATGAAAGTTGTGCTTAGTAAGGGACTCTCAAGGTCAACTGGGATAAAGGCAATAGTTTGACGACCATCTTCAGGGACAGCTCATCTCCCTCTGACCATTCTACCTGGCACAACCACAGTCTTTAGAGAAAAGACACTAATCATCTGGAAAGGCCACAGCTGAGAAAAACAAAAACAAAAACAAAAACAAAAAAGCCAGCTCACAGGACAACTGGGACCATCCCTGCTTGGGTTCTGTCCATTAGAACCAAGGCCTAGAAATCTCTAACAGGAAAATAGGATTTAGTGGATGCTGCTGCACAGTTTTAGTCTAATAAAAGCACTGCTTTCATTGGCCACTTAGGTGTGAGTTAATTTCACAATCTGACAGTGCAGTGTGACCCATAGCATTTCAAATTAATGTTTTTGCTCATGCATATGTGAAAAGCTCAAGACTTAAAGAGAACAATTTGTGGGGTTTTCCATAGTATAACTGATCTACCTTCCATGTGTGGACATTTAAACAAGGCCCCTTACCCAGTCTGCAATGCTAAGCATATATTACACTGGGTACATTCTTGGTCATTTTTTTTTTCCTGATCATTTAAAAGAAAATACCTCTCATTATTTGAAAGAAAAACCAGGGCACAGAAATAATTTCCTAAGCAGCCATATCAGTTGTAGAAGCTACCCAAGTCTCTGCCTTGCTGCTGCTCATCATTTCAGCTTGTGCCTGGGTTGTTTCCATCAGGCAGTTCAAATCAGGAGTAAGATGCATTGGCCTGGCTGTTGTTCTGCCAAGCAGATAATCCCCTAATGGTCAGTCAGCACTTCCATCCCCCAAAGTCAGGCTGACCTTCAGAGGCAGAAGGTGCTTTAAGTTTGTGCAAAATAACCTTAGAGACACAGAGAGTCCTGCCTGGGGTGTGATCCCTCCCCCAGCTTCCTTTTGCAATGTGAGGCCTGCATATCTGTGACGTTTCCTTCTTAAAACATTTGGAGTTAGGACAAAATTTGCATAATTCTATTAGAAGGCTTGCACCTCAGCTTTGGAAAAAAATATTGGAGAAAATGCAACTGGGGGTGGGGGGGGAGAAGCCTTATCTTTTGGTGCAGAAAGTGTTTCCTGGAACTAAGCTTGTTAATGCTGGGATTGCCTGCTAAGCTCCTGAACGGAAGAATAGATGGGAAAGGTTTCGTTTATCACCACGTTCGGTCTGCAATGGTTGGAAGCCCAAGACAGGGAAGGATTTTCCATCTCACCATGCTGCACATATGGCAACTGGAATCCCGTACAGTGGCGGCCACACAGCTGTGTTTCTGTAGAGTTTTACAAGATGTATTGGTTCCTCTCAATTGAGGACAGTTTATTTTGGTGTCATTATGGAACCTGAGGAGATCATCCTTAGGGCCAATAAATCCAAGGGCCTGTCACCATGTCTATTTTGATCAGATGATCCACCTATCTCTCCCAGGCGGACAGCCAGTCTGGCATGTGTTTCTTCTCTTCAGTTTCTGTGAAGGTACTTAATGAACAAGGCACCTTTGGCTGTGTAACTGTTACCAAACCAACTGTAATTAAAATGTCCTCTCTGTGTCACATGGGTCTGTGAAGTGGAGCCACGAGCTTCCTGTTCGCATGATGGCATGCTGGAGGGGAAGTGTGAAGACCATGACCTCTACTGTGGCCAAAGAGCCCACAGCCTCCAGTCCAGAACCATCCGAACACCCAAGCCTGCCATGGATCTCAGGTCTTACATTCCACCCAGAACCACCGTGACACATGACTTCATTTTTATTCACCAGTGACCTGAATGACTTTTTAGAGTGCTATATAAACACTTAGGTACATACACTTAGGTAAAGGGGCAGTTTATTGCGTGGGAATCAAGATTCACTAGACTCAGTACAGGTTAAGTGAAGTTTATTCAGGGAGAATATACTTACACACGAGGTGGGTGACCACCACAGGTTCCAGCTCCAAAGATCCACTCAGGCTGTTGCCTGTGACCCAACTGGAAGCAAGAGCGAGCTCTGGGGTCCTGGACCCCAGATCTAGTCCTCTCTCCATCAAGTCCTCACCTGTGACCATGCCCAAACAGGCGTGGTCAGTGCTGCAGGTGTGGGCAGAATGGATATCTCACTACAACAGTTTAATAGCATAAATCTTGTCAGTATTTGAATAGCAGAAGTAGCTTTTCTTCCTACATAGTTCACTGAGTGTGAAGTCCACATGGATTACTGTGATAACTGCCTGGTATATGTTTATGTGTCTATGACCATAGGACATTTCTGTGGGACTGTTGTCAGGGCACCTAGTGGCTGTGCCCCCAACAGTCTTTTCTGCCTATTTGTGTAGAAAAATACTTGGTTTTCAATATATGGTATTTCCCTGGGCCCTCTCTGCATTTCACATGTAACTGAAAGCCTTTTCCAGCTGCATCGGTGATTTCTCTAACACTGATCGTCTTACACTGCAGTCCCTTCTTCTGAGAGGCGACCCCTTTACCATGATTTCATGAGTCTTGACTTCAAGCCCCAGACCACAACAAGCTAACCTTTATTTAGACAATTTGCTAAACATCTAAGTAGATGAAGGAAATTTGGGAATTGTATTTACCAATTTACAAAAAAAATTAGAGAAATTTTTTTCATAAATTCCTATCTAGTTGTTTAAGTGTTTCCACCTATATTAAATATGCTATTTTCATTTAGGTTATTTAAATTTCTACACAGATTTTGTGTACACCCTTGGGAGAACTTTCCTATGGGTTTTAAAATGACAACTCTGTTTCCCTGTTGGGACCATTGCAGGGCTGTTGTTTGTGACTAGGTGTTCTACAGTGCTGGGGTGTGCGGTTCAGTAAAATCCACACAGTGAGGGTGGTTTGAAAAGATGTGGGCTATGCTTTCAGATTGATGCCCGAGACCTGTGTTCTCCTTATGTAACACACAGGCAAAGCTATGCCTGTATGGAGACCCAGGGCAAAAATGTGAGCTGTTCAGCCAAAATTGCCACCTGAAGACACATAGAACAAAGAAACACAAGTCCTAATCAGATTAGAGCTAATGAACCAGTCTCCAGCCTGTTGTGAACTCCAGAAATGCCAAGTCATTCCAGTGAATAAACAGTGGACTCAACTCCAGGAGAACAAAGTGTTTTCTTAATTATTCGCATTCTTTTCACAGCTGTAATTACAGGATAGTTTCCATTTTCTGTCGCAGCAACTTGCTCCCCATGCAGGTACATCCTTGAGCTGTAGTCTCCCCTGAGCTTGAAAATAGTTACCAAGCATCACTTAGATGGAAAAATCCCTCCTGCTGTCTACAAAGGATAAAATGTTAAGACCTCAGTGGGATGCAGAGAAGAGAGGCAGTTTGAGGTTAGTTTTCATTTAATTTGGTAACTGATGGTTAGGGATAAAACATAGCACACCATTAGGCACTATGTATCAGAAACCTACCAGCTAATATACCTCTATAATGATCCTTTATTCCTGAAGATGACTTTTTAAAATAGCATTTTCCCAGACAATCACCAAAACAATACACAATTTTTTGACTCAGAGTTGCCCACCGCCCCCAATCTCATTACTCTGGGGTACCCACTATGGCAAGTACAATGGGAATTCTACTCTGGGTCTTTATCCTATTTTAGTTTCAGCAACATGTAGTCATTCGCAATTTTAATCATATATATGCTTATACTGCAAGTTCTTCCTGTCTGCTACTATTCTACGTTTTGAAAAGGGGTCACATAGTATATTGTTACACATGTGGGGAATTGTCAGAAATCATTCTTGGATGTATAATTTCATTGTTTTCTCAGCTTTGAGCTGCTGCTGTTGGTGGCAGGATGACTGAAGCCGCTGTCCCTTTAGCTGGAGTTGGTCCTCTCTTCAGTGTTCTATATTTCCTTTAGGGGGTCAAGCCCTTTTGCATTTGGTCTATTCTACATGCAAGGCTCCACCAAGTATCACTGTTTTATATCTGTCTACTGTGCACACTTCAGTGTATACTGTTCTGAATACAGTGCTGTCCCACTAAAACATGAATTGTCCCTTCGTCCAGCACATTGACTGTGCGCACTCTTCACACATTAGCCACTGTGCTATCTCTTTTATGAGATTAGCATCACAGCACTGCAGGGCTTATGGTCAAGTAGTGCTTATTTTACTGAATAACAGTCCCCATATACAAAAGCAATGATCTGAGAAGGCAACTAGGGTATAAAACACGGAGAGACATATTAGCTGTGGCAGTGTATAGCAACACTGCAAGGGATATGGGAGAAACATTGCATTTAAACACATTGGGGTGGCTTAGGTATTATAGACAAATTGGGGCAAGCAATGTGGGTCTTGGAATACACCTCCTGTGCATAAAAGTGATGCCATCTGTTATTTTGAAAGTGGGCTATGATCTTGGCCTCAATTCTCTTGACACCTCTTTACTAGAAATCTGTTTCTCTGCCGGGCGTTGGTGGCGCACGCATTTAATCCCAGCACTTGGGAGGCAGAGGCAGGCGGATCTCTGTGAGTTCGAGGCCAGCCTGGTCTCCAGAGTGAGTGCCAGGAGAGGCTCCAGAGCTACACAGAGAAACCCTGTCTCGAAAAAACAAAAAGAAAGAAAGAAAGAAAGAAAGAAAGAAAGAAAGAAAGAAAGAAAGGAAAGAAAAAAGGAAAAGAAAAAGAAAATGAAATCTGTTTCTCCATAGCCCTGGGCATGTTAGGTCATGCTATGGTGAAGAATGAATGAATGAATGAATAAATAAATAAATAAATAAATAACCCCAAAGTCTCTGTTACTCAGTAAAACAGTTCAGCTATTGTTCATCCAGGGAATAGTAAATACTTTCAGGGACTCCACTCCCTTCATGAGCCAATGGTACAGGATTCTCCTACCTGCAGTATGTCATCTCAATGGGTATCTTCCAAGGGTGTTGATCCAATGGTAGAGGATCTTCCCACCTGCAGTGGGCCATCTCAAATCATATCTTCCAAGGCTGTTACTAGAGGAAAAGAGAAGGCTATCAAGTTATACCAATCTCAGAGGGATTGTCAGGATCAGAGACTGCAGGGACCATTCAACATTGAGATCCAAACAATTTAAGGAATAATGCAAGTTCAGGAGTGACATAACCAGATGGTCGCTGGAAAATGTAACCCAGGGAGGGGAGCCTAGAGAGCAGATGCGGTCCAGGTAGCCACATTGTAGTATTCATGACTAGAACTTTTATGCGTGACTCTCCATCTGGTTTCACATTGCAATCATTCTAGGAGCTCTAGAAAATGTGCAGTTCGGGCCCTGCCTGAAGCAGCCTATAATCAGAATCTTCTGAGGACAATCCTTCACTTCTTTTTAAAAATCTACCCAGTGACTTGAAGGCCCCTCCCTGCTGGTTAGGTTTCATAGTATGGGAAAGTGCCATTAAGCCTGCTCTGCAAGAGAATTGTTGTCAACAATCTCAGATAGCTGTGAATTCTCTATGTTACAGGTAAGATGTGCAATAGTGGCATGACTATTATGAGAGCAACCAACTACTTTCTGATTAAATTGGAGACCTGCTTCAGAGAAGGGATTCATGCCTGGTACTGTGAACTTGGTCAAAAGCTTGGGAGGTCATGGGCTCTGGAGGGAATCTATTACTCTTTCCCAAATGGACAATATGTTGTACCAATTATGCTACCTTATAAACACTTGTATTTATATCCAAAGATAAGTGCTTCTGTCAGCCTTGATGACACAAGCTTCCTTTTTCACAGGTAGCAGTTATTCTAGAGACTCATAATTGAAAAAAAAAATCCTGATAATGTGACCATTTCTCACAATGCCCAGACCCAAAGGAAACATTACAGCATTTCTCTTCACAGTTTGGGGAGCATTACAGAAGAGGGGGCAGAAAGAATGTAAGAGCTGAAGGAAGGGGTAGAATGTTGTGAAATGCTGTTCTCAAGGCATGATGAGGCCAGTGCACTCTTAAACACATAATATCTGTGATTACCTGCAAAGATCAGCACAAGATTGGGATAGTCAGTATTCACCATGGAGCAAAATATGGCTCATGAGGCCACACTCCTCCTTGAAAATTTAAAGACAACTAATGGTTGCTAGTGGATGGAGAAATAAACAATAAATATACAAAAATGCTCTTGCCAGCAAATGAACTGGAACCACAAAGTCAAGGGGGAAATATGATGGGTCTACTTTACTTCTAGTGATTTGTAGCTGCTTTTACACTGCCAAAGCCAACCTCCCATACCAGTGTTTTAAAGATGGCACCTGACACACAACAGATTCTAAACTCTACTGTTCTAGTGATACTATTTTGTTTAATAGCACATTGCCATCCTCCACACAGCACTTTGATAGTGATAAGCACAGCCATGCTTCAGACTACACCAGGGGATTGCCAAAGTCACACATCTGTTTTCTTTGTACTCAGTCTCCCTCTGTGTTTGCTCAGGGTTCTGCAGGTAGCTGTGTAGCCAAGACAAGAGGCAGGATATAAGTGATGCCTTCTTCTGCGCCATCTTCCAGGTAACTGTGGGTGTTTTCAAGTCAAAGGAGAGATGCGCTATAGAAAACAAGCAGGCAGCTCGCTGCTCCAAGGATTAGACTTGCTTGGGCCCATGCTTATGAGGTCTATATTTTGAAATTACAAAACTGTAAGTTCAAAATAGAGCATCTGAGCTTATGGGCTATCCACTAAGGACACTGGATTCTGGAAATATGACTTAATCACTTGTGATTCTCCAAGTTCTGAGAGCTGGGGCTCTTGAGCGCTCAGTGTGGTCCTTGTTTCTCTTCTCTGTTCATTTTTTAAAAATCCAGTACTTTGTCAAGCTCCAATGTACTTACTTTAATGTAATTACCTTATATGTTAACTGTCTCTGCCTCTATGACCTTCTACTTTTATTCTTGATGAATATTTCAAAGTTCTGAAAACTACAACCCCTATTCCTAACTTGTGTTTTGCTATTCAACAATCTTATCACCATGACCCACCCCAGTACCATCATCTACTTCTTTTTTAACCTCAAACTTGTAGCCTATATCTGCCCGTCACTTTCAGACCAATTGCATCTATACTTGAGCAAGTGACATGAGTATATCATTGTTGTGTGGCTTTTCCTAAAGATTCATAAAAGGAGTCTATTCATCCCAACCATAGAAGGTACTAACGGATCAAAGGAAGGTCTCTATCCAAGTCCAATTTGATGAAGCAATGAGTTACTCATAGGAACATGGGAAATTCAAAGGTAGCTACACTATTGGGAAGTCCCTTAGGGAACTTATAGCAGCTAGAGTCATACCTGGAGCATGGATGCTTCAGGACAAGCTGTATCCATGGTTCTCCTAGGTGACTTACAGGTAGTTATTCTACCAAAGAATCCCAACCCAGTCAATTATTACATCTTATATAACTTTGGAGATGGGAATGGTCTTGGAAGGCTACCATGAAGTCTGTGGGCTCTATCTGAGCCCAGTAAGTCTGGAAGCTTTATAAAGTTCACGTTTCCCTCACTTCCTCCACTAGGGAATTAATAGGACAGACCTCACATCCTAAATAGCTATTTTGCCACCATAATTGCTTAGGTTCCCTCAAATCACTGAGGTGCCTAGATGCTTTCAAAACACTTGATGAATGAACAAATCGTGCAGAATGATCATCTGTTAGGAGTTAACAAAGACTCTTACACTTCACTGTGCTCCCATCATAGGCTAGGTGTCCTAAATGTAAACATACTCCTGGTGATATGGATGTTCATGACATAGGCAGGGAGAAGCTCATAGACCCAAGAGTTTTGGATAGTTTTGCTGTGTTAAGCTTTATTGAGCATTCACGGACTATTGCTTTATGGCAATTTTTATAGCAAGTAGGCATGCTAAGTGTCCTACATACTTTATCTCATTTAACCCTTATCAGCAAAATATAGGATAGGATTTATGCTCAATGTTCTTGATGAGAAAATCAAGCCTTTTAAAGTTAGCTGCCAGAATTATATTAAATACTACAATAGATGACCTTCAAGTTTCTTAGCATTTTCATAATTATACTATGCAAACAGCTCTTTTCTTCTCTAGATAAACTTTTATTAAGGATCTCTGCTACTTTGATTGAAATAACTTCTTGAGTTTCACAGGACATCTGAAAGTATTCTAAATGCCCACATAAGTTGTGCTTTATACCACAGCAAATATTTCAAGCATTTCTATGCTTCCATACACTGTAAAAATAGGAAACCTGTCTTCTAAGCTCTTGAGCCACATTAACCAGCTTGGCACTAATTCTCAGAGTCATGCCGTCTGACACCTAGTGCAAGAAGCCACCCAGGAGCTGACTCACCACACAGAATACCAAGAGTATTGTTCAGAAAGCTTCACATTTACTGGGAGCTATTTTAAGTACCATTTGGGGAGAAAAAAAACCTTATTACAATTAGCATATCTTTAAAAACAGAAATGTCAGTGCTAAAATTCTCCATGTGTATATGCCTCTTTGATTTCTTGGTTCTATTCCGATAGCTCTTCAATTATATGGAAATAGTTTCATGCTGACTCCTGCATTCAATCATCATTGCAAGGGAAGAAGTTAATGTAGGCACCTCACTCAGTAAACTTTGCCACGGGAAAAGAGCCGGATGGGGTTCACCCAAAAGAATAGGGAGAATTACAGCAAGAGGAGGCAGCATCAATTTTCTAAGCAGCTCAAGGTGGGAGCAATGTACCTACATGGGGAATAAGGTACATACATGGAGAGCCATGAGATTAAGGCTAAAGAAGCAGCAATGAGAATCTTGACTCCTCCTCTTCATGCCTAGTGCAAATGGTCTTGGTGCTGTTCAGCATGCATATTGTTTTTCTCTCCAGCAAGCTTGTGTCAAGTCTCCAGAGAACCAACTCAAAGTGTTCTTTAATGCTATAGTACTGACATTCTGATAGGTTTCTAGAAATTATTTCATTCTATATAATGATAATAGATATTTATTCATTGCCTACTGAATACTGTTCTATGTTGATCCAGGATTCGAACACAGGTAGTCAAGCTCCACACTGCTTAAATCATTTGTACAAAATGGTCTTTCCAGGACAAGCCTCTGTCTGTTCTGAGGATCACACCTTCCTCTGAGTTATATTCCTAGCTCTTGGATCCTTCAGACAGAGTCTCACCATTAAGCTCAGGCTGGCCTTGAACTCTCTGTGTGAATGAGTCTCTTACTCAGAGCAATTTACCTTTTAGTAGCCCACATCAGTGCAATGGTTTAATATACACCAAGAAATGACATCTTCACCACTATTAGGGACTTACAGACACCAGGGGCATTAATTAGTTCAGCTGAACCCAGAGCTTTGGAGAGAACACCATAGAATTGGATATCCAGGAAGAAAGGGGTGAACTCTTCCTTTAAGTGGGGGTACCCCATGCTCATGTGTCTTGGGAAGTAGATGGGATTTATAGGGAAAAAGTCTTGAGCTGGACAGAGTTTAAGAGGTGAGAGTTGACCTTTCCCTCTTCTCTTTTAGGAAGTGTTTCCAAACTATGTTCCCAGGTTTTAAATCGGAAGGCTCTCTACTTTGAATTGCTCACTAGTCTTTTGCTTGCTGCAAGCTCAAGCATTGGGTCAGAAAGAGGAGGAAGAGGGATTCTTCCTGCATTGTCCTTTCAGTGACCCCCATGGAGGATCATGCATGCATCACATGTGCCCTAGTGTGGAATCAGACCTCAAGTCAGGAAGTATCTAAGAGCCAGTGCAAGCAAGAGTTCGATAGCATCCCACTTATACCTGTAGGTTAGTGTGGCATTTGGTGAACTTGTCAGTCAACAGAGATCTTGTTAAAATCCAGACTCTGGGTTTGCAGACCTGCGCTAGGGCCTGGGGCTATGCACTCCTCGGAATCTCACTGGTTATGCAGATGCTGCTTGTACACAGACAGCACTTGGAGGAGTAAGGACTTAGGGGACATGCCAGCTGGGAGGCAGAGTGACCTTCCACACCTAGCTGGCATGTCTATTTTTAGAGTTTTTCCCTACATGCTCCTGAGTAGATAGAATTTGAGGGTAGCTGTCCTCTAAAGTCCCCCTCCACTCGGCTGCACAGTCTGCATCAAGGCAGACAGCATCTTGTGTGTCCCTAGGGGCATATGTCCTGCCCTGGAAACAGCTGTATATTTCGTCACCACTGATGTCACTCTGCACTGCTGTGTGTAACAGAGGATCAGTGCACTAAAGGCCAGTCCTGGGTCAGAGCTGAAGGAAAATACCAGAACTGGTGATCTTTGGGCCTCGGTGCTTGAAGAGATATCAGTGTGTGTGTAGCCTCACTGTGCCAGCTTCCCTGAACACTCTGAGGGAAAGAATTGAGGATTTGTATCCAGTAAGCTCTCATGTGAGGAGGAGTCACTTCAGAATCACCATCTCCTTGGTTTTCCTCATGTATCATGGGATACATGAGCCCCTGTCTCAAAAGGACAAAACAGTTTCTCAACAAACTAAAATCCTCCTACGGACTAGTTATACTGTTCCAGATGGGCTTTCAGTCAATGTACCAGGGAGCCTTCACATAAACCTTCACTGTCCCACTATAACTGATAACTAAGTTCTGGAACCAGCCTAGGTTCCAGTAAGAGGGGAGCAGAGAAAGAAAACATGGTAGTATGTGTTCACTTCCAAAGAAACTCAGAACAAATGACTAATTGATCCTCACTTTTCATTCGTTATGTGTGTACACAGAGGAATTCTTGTCAGCCAGGTAGAAGAACCAAGTTACATTGTTTGCAGAAAATGGACTCAACTACAGATTATCCTACCAGGTAAATTAAGTCAGAAAGACATATATTGAATGTTTTCCCTCATTTGTAGTCCCGAAATTTCATATAGATATAAAAAATCATATATGCATAAAATGAAAGAAGTACTATTGTCTAGGGGAACAAAAGGGAGAAATGGGGGCAGGGGGTTTTGCCCCACATATAGCAACATTTGTGTGAAGATTTTAAAAAATAAATGAATTAAGAAATAATCTTTGCCTCTTTGGAAATCAACAAAGGTGCTACTTAAGTCAGATTCCAAGATGTTTCCATAAGAAAGGAATGGAGTCAGGAAACCCAAATTTAGGTCAGGGGCAATGGGACAGTCTTCCTGAGAAAATTAATTATAGAAGAGTGTTTCAATGAAAGTGATGGAAACTATGGCTAATGTTTCTGGAGGCCTTCACAGGGGCAAGCTGCATGCTGCAGTTCCATGACCGAATAACTAGCATGGAGAACCAAGACAATAAGTGGAATCCAGCCATGCTCCTGGCCAAGATAAACTGAGCTGAGCCCTGGCTGCCTTCCATGACCTGGTGCCTGGGCACCGCCCCTGTGAACACCCTGGAGATCTCCTTCCTACCCGAGCCCCACATCCTTGCCCCTTTCCCATCTACCCCTCCCATCCAACCTCCCCAGCTAGGTGAGATTTCTTCTTGCAATCATCTCACAGGGCCATGTTTTCATCTCATCTTATTTTTTTTCTACCATGTTGTCTCTCAATGACTATTATTAATTCATTCATATTTGACAAAAGTTTACTCAGCTAAGTAGCCTGTTGTTCTGTGCCCAATGGGAAGGAATTAAAAATGTAGTGTGAAGACAGGAAAATAACAGATCTTGACAGGTATCTCCATGAGGACGGCGACAGTGTGAGAGGGGAGCAGCTGCCAAAACAACATCTCAAACAGACTTCACGAGGCAGGCAGGGGAGGGCTGGAGCGGAAGACATCGTGAGAGAGATGCTGCTGGTCAGCTGGTTAAAGAGCCAAAGAGACAAAGAGTGAGACGCCTACTGATGAAGCAGCCCAATAGCAGACATGGCACCAGGAAGGAACATGATCTTTTGTTTGTTTGTTTTTTGTTTCTTTTGTTTGTTTGTTTTTGGAATTGTCCACCATTTCTTACAACGTACTGGTCAGGCTCTAGTGAGAGGTGGGGGCTATAGAGTTAAATATGCCACAATTCACACAAGACCTTGCTTAAGGTTGCTTGCTTAAGGTGCTTATGTTTTCTCCTCAGGCAAAGGCAGGGCATTGCAGGAGTTTAAGCTCCTTAAGCAAAGGGAGTTCAATGCACCAGTGTTTTGGAAAGATCACACAGCAGGATTATGGAGGAAGGAAGAGTCAAGCTACTGTTGCTATAACAGAGGACTAGAGAAACAGAATAAGCCTTAGCCAGTGAAGGCAAGGGAGAGGAAGAGGACTGCGTGGGTATCCTGGCTCACTTTCCATTAGTCAGAAAGTTATTTTTCTCTTACTTCATTTTATTGACATAAGAAGAAATAGTGGTACACTGAGGGTTTCAGGCTTGAACTAAGGCTACTGCTAGTACTTCCTGAGTTGGGAATGCTAGAGTGGCAGGTAGGTGCCCATCCAAGGCCCAGCCTAACCTTACATAAAACTAAAGATGTACACGCCAGCTTTGCCTCACAACTGAACTACACAGTGATCTACAGGTGTCCAAATCATGAGCACAGGTGTAATTGTGTTATTCTTCAACATGAATAATTTATACTTTTGTCCAGTTCTTTGAGTATTTCATCATTGCCCTGTGAATAACTTCTGATACACAGTTTCAGAAACTATGACATTGACCGGATGAGATGTCACTCTTTAACAAAAGTTATCTTTCCTGGCCATATGAAAGCTACTATTTTTCAAAGAATATACATGTGCACATGCATGCGCATAAAGCCTGGCCTTCCTCCCCACTCTCTCTCTTTCCTTTGTCTTCTGTCTCTTTCTTTTTCCCCCTTTCCTTCCTCCAT